ACTGTCCTTTTTTTTAACTGAAATTCTTGGTAACTCCCACCCTGGGTAATTTCCATCAGCTTTCTCACATGGCAGCCCTGGTAGCACTCATTCCTGGTGCCTTTCCCTGATAGCTTTAGGGTGTTGTGCTTCATTAGCCCGTAATGTAATTGCCTACTTTTGTTTACAAAACAGTTATTTGGATCTGCTTGCATTTGATGAGTGTATGCTCTGTTAGTGTTGCTTTAAAGAATATCTCCCTTTGATAAGATGAATGTGGAGTGGCTTGCAGGCCATGGTGTGTGCAGAGGGGAAGATGTGAGCCAAGTTCCTGATGAAAGTGGTCGACAGTGCTTTTATGAGTTTTTCTGTTATTGCTAGAGATAATGTACCACATGGTGACTCAGGCTTTCTGCTTGTAATAATTTTTCTTACTGATGGGGAAAAACAGCTTTAAATTATTCCACATATCAATGGTCGCATGCATCAAAAACAAGCAAAAAATGCTAATGGCCTCAATCCATGAATATCCAGAAGGCATAAAGCTTTTGTAGTATAAATATATCATTTAATGAAAATATTGAAAAGAGGTGCATTTCCATGAATTTCATTTTTCAGAATGTTATTTTCAATAGATGAATTCATTGCTTTACCAACAGGTATTTCTTCTTCTCAATCCTTTTCCAGACATAGAGCCATGTTATAAACCTTTGCTAATGAACAGGACAGCATTCACACAGGTTATCCCCATATTCCATAGCAATGAATTGCTGTTAAGCGTGGATTTGACCTTAATTCCTTCTGTGCTTCAGGAGGCACCGCTTAATAGAGGGGTCTTTTTGTGGTATTTGTTTTGGAGAGCCTGAAAAAAAAAGCAAAACACAAACTGTCCATTTCTACTAACTTGACTGTGAAAAATCACAGATTTTTTCATTACAAAACTGATGTCAGTTCGCTCTGAAGTATAATAAATCTTCTAATGTATAATGTAGATAAGTCTGTGTTTTCTCATTCTTTTGCCTGCACAAGCAACTTGCATCATGCATCAACACAGACACTCTTGAATAGGAGGTATTCACTGCTTTGTTGCTGTGTAGTAAGGCTAAATTCAATAGTGCTTGGAGTGTTTTGAAGTCCTCCTGTGGAAGAGGCTCTTTCATTTGCTCCCAGGAGTTGCCACAATGAGCTAATCGCTATATAAACTTACTTGTCTTCCAAATTAGCAGGAGCTGAACAATCCACTTCTTTCAGTGAGTGAAAACATCAAGCGTGTGAAAGATAGATCAGCCATCCACTCCTGTAAGATATTAACTTTGTTATCCAGAATCCCTTTTGATGTGAATTGTTAAGATCAACAATTAATGCACTATTTTTCCCCAGAGAAGAGGCGCACACTGTGCAGTTTCCCTGGAGCAGCAGACAAGTGCTCTCACTGACTGCCTTGCTCTTCGTGGTTTTTTTTTCCTCTCTGCCATTACCTCTTGTTTCCCCATTTAAGAAAGGATGCAAATGAGTTATTATTATTATTCTTTTCTTCTTAAATGCTCTTAAGTCTAGGCATGGAACATGCTGTGATGGAAACATTAAATGTCTATTATTTTTACATGTAAAAAGTGTCTGTGTAACACAGCTCTTAAACAGCTTAACAAATCCAATACCTTATGGGACTCTGACCATGCATGAAAACTTCAAACCACACAAGGAAAAAAGATAAGTAAAGCAGATTGTAAATGGCGTATGGTGTTATCATCCATCACTAAAACCTTTTTCCTGTATAATATCATTCTTCATACCCAGTTCACTCAGTGATACAGTAATTTCAGCATTTACAGCCTTACATGCCTTGTTTTGTTTTGTTGCTGCTTGTTATGATATCCCAGCTGTGACAGCAGGGAGTGCATATAGCAGGTATAAATAAGTTGCTTCTTAAGGCTTATATGAAATGTTCTCTCGGGGAAGTGATGAAAGCAGTATTATTTGTTTAAAACTTGACAAGAATTTGGGAGATGAGTTGAAATAGAGTACAATAAGAATTTTCTGCTCTTATTTCTGTTGTTGTATTTGAATTATCCCTTGCTCTGTCTTTCTGCAATTCAGTGACCAGTTTAGGAAGACATCTGAGCAAACCTATCTCCATCTGGGTGGGGTCCTGAACTGGAGTCATCCTGTTAGCCTTTTGTCAGAGAAGAGAATTCATGTTGAACGGAATCAAACTGAAATAGCAGCAAGCAAAAATGTTCTTGCTCTTTGCACATTTTCGATATCAGAAGCAACAGAAACAAATGTCTCTTGATGTTGGAGCAGTTTTTAGCTCTGATGGTGTCAAAAGCAGACTGCTGTGGCTGTTAGGCTGAAACGTAGTGGGGTGTTGATTAGACATTGTAACAAACTGCAAAAAGCTACAAATGCTGTTGCGTTCATATTTCTCCCTGGCAGCTGCAGTGGCTGCTACGTATGTTTCCCTAAGTAGTGAATTAGTAAATGGGCCGAATCACTTTTTGAATCTCTTCCCTGTCTCTCTAGGGAAATGAGTTAAGGATGTGTAGAGGAACGTTGCAAATAATCTTCTTTGGGAGTGGGGGGGAGGAAAAAAAAAAAAAAAAAAAGCTTAATTCAAGCTACTTTTGAAAAAAAGAATAAAACAAGTTTTAGGCAATTATCGTGTGTGTAGGCAGGCTGTAGTTAGAAAATGGTGTTTATTAGCCCTAACGTGTCAGATTTGAAAAATTAAGCAATATGAAGATAAGAGATGCTCTACCTTGCATGATAACATCAAGCTTGGTAAGTGCCAGAAATGCAGAGGGAAAGGCAAATCTATCAGAGCACACAGCACAGCATACCAGCAGGGCAGGGGAGGGGAAAGCAGACAGGAGAACATGAAAGAAGTAGGCTATGGAGAGACAAAAGTAATTCTCATGTGAAAACATGAAGCAAAACCAGAGAGGTAATGTGCAATTCAAGTTCTGAATTCAAATGCAACTTTCTTCCTCTGGGTCTGTGGAGTAAATGTAACATTTGTGTCCACCTCTGTTATAAAGGCCTTTTGGATAGCTTTATTCAGATGGTGGAGCTTGGTAGAAATCATCTAAATCTGGAGTGTAAGTGTTTATATATGAATACTTATAATCTCACAATATATGATTAATTTTTTTGTACTAAACTTTTCACAGGAAGACACAGAACTATCATGTTTTTCCTGATTTTTATTGAGTTCTGTTACTGCAGTGGTATAAGTGAACAGAAGTATTAGTGTAGCATCTAAACCATAATTTAAGCATTAAATTCCCTTTAGAGCAAGAGGAAATGCTAAAATGAAGTCTTTATACATTGTAGTAGTTACCACACTTGCTAATGAACTGCAGCTGCTTGCAGAGATGCAGAGTAGCACTGCAAATACCCTGAAGCTGGTTAGGATAAGTATGGAAATAACTTATTATAGTGAGGTAAGTAGGAGGAAAACATCAAAGTAGGGAAGGGTATGTTGGTTTGTCCAAAGTACTTTGGCTTGGAAAGTAACCATAATGGATTAATGTAATTTGTCCCCAGAAAACTATACTAGAGTGCTATTTAGATGTTGCTTTTTGTTAATTTAAAACTATTTTGTGTGATTTTTATTGGGGGCCACAGTTTAAGAGATCTGGCCTTGCCTTGATGATGTCAGTCTGTAGCACGTCACAAAAGGGTAGCAATGAGATCTCACTATGTGAACTTCTTTATGAAGTTAGAATTGCTTATTTTTAAGACTGTATTATTTTTGTCCTGGCTAGGAAAGTGTTCCTTCAGATGCTATATGATGGCTTTTTTTTTTTTTTTTTTTTTTTAATTTGCTGTATGTTTTTAATAAATTCTGCTCACTAGCATCCATCTCTTTTTATTGTAAGTTAGCTTGTTAATTTGATGAAGTGTCTGTCAGCATTTTGTGTGTTTTGTTCCACTGTGCTCTTTAAAAATCCCTTGCCACGTTGTGTATTATATAGTATTATTTAGTCATTTGTGGCTTGAAACATTGCCTAAGTGCTAACTTGTGTTTCCCTGTTTTCAGTCTGTAGCTTTTTATGTCTGACAACTCAACTCTTGCAGCAACAGCGTAGAGTTCCTTCTATGCATAGAAAAAAACACCAACATTTAAAAATATAATCTGCCACCATTTTATTGCACAATTGATAGATTTGCTTTGGAGTGTTGCAGTGTTTCATTTGACTTGCTAGCTGTTTTTCAGACATGAGGTTTTTATATAAATTTCAACATGCTTTTGCCTTCCACAGCTGATCACTTTTTGGAAAAGTCACTGTGGAAGGTTTCTGGCTGAATTCCACATTTAGAAGAGCCTTCAAAAAAGTCCTTTTCATTGTGCTAATATGAAGCCAAAGGTTGTAGGGACTCTGTTGCTTGGAAGTAGTATTTCTGTGTTGTCACCAGTCTTATCTGTTATATCTCAGTGAGTGCGACAAATGAGAAGAATCTGTATTTCCCTTGCTGCTTCAACAGTTTGTTGAGAGCGGCCAGATTGCTGCAGATGATGATTCTCTTGGAAACCTCAACAGCCCGACCTCCTCTGTAGGCAGAGTATTTTGCTGAAGTGTTTTGGTTTTGAATCCGACATAAGTAATTTAAGTTCTCTGTTGGAATTTATGCAGGCAAGGGGTCAGGTTTAAAAAGCTTGTAGTTTAAAGCGTTTCTGCTACTACACCTTTTCTACTCTAATATCCTATTATAATATATGTTTTTCTTTTCCTGCAAATGAAGTCCTTTTTATTCCCTCTTCCTTTCTGGCTTTGAAGAGAACATTTGCTTCTCCATTTATCTGAGGTAATTAGAACAGAATAGCCCTGGATTCTTTAAATCAGTTTAATTGGGCTTTTAAAAAATGTATTGAATATTCTGTTTTCTGCACAGAATTTTCATTTGATTGTGAAGCCGCTCTATCTCAAGAGCCCAATGTCTTACGTGCTATTTATTTCTTTATTTTTAAAAGAGGCGATTGTCATCCAAACGGCCTTCATCTCTATTCTCTGTTCCAGGCTGATTCATGGAGGGCAGCTGTTAAATGGCTTGGCGGGGCCAACTGTGATGAACGCAGCCCCGTTTCTTTCCACAACGTGGTTCTCTCCAGACGAACGTGCGACAGCAACGGCAATTGCCTCCCTGCTCAATTACCTGGGCTGTGCTGGCGCGTTTTTAGTGGGACCTCTTGTGGTGCCATCTCCTAATGGAACCTCGCACCTCCCGCTGTTGTCACAGAGCAGCACCGAGCACATCAAGGACCGCATTGAGGCTGTGCTCTATGCAGGTGTGTTTTTTTTAATTAAGAAAAAAAGTTATTAATTATAAAACATTTACATATTCCCGTGTGTTTGGTGCTTGTGAAGCACTACCCTCTAGTGGCTGGACTGCCAAGGGAACAGCAGCTAACTGATGGGAAGTGACAAAGTGGTAAGATGTTCTAGTATCAGAAGGGTTACTTTTTTCCATTTTATTTTATTTTATTTTATCTTTTAAGGATAAAATTTAAAATAGTGTCATATACAAATTGATTCCAAGGGAAGTAGTTCAACTGTTTGTATTAGGAGAAGCATCTTCTAGGAGAGCTTATGCTTTCCCAGAGATTCCAAACTGTTGTTCGCTTCTCATATTTTCAGTAAAAAATTCTCCGTGGCAGGTTGTTTTTTCTTTTATCTCTGGGAGGATGGAAATGTTATTTTTCCAGCACTGAATATTTTGTGCATAAATTCAGCCTTAATTTATGTCTTGCGTATGCCTTTCAAATGTGATTAGATTATTAGTATCTAAGAATCTAACACTGGAATTAAACTCAATAGATTTTGATTTTAACTAAAACCACCTAATTCTTATGCAGCAAGCAGTTTCAATGAAACGACAACAGTTTGGTGCAAAAAATGCTGATAGAAAATTCATCTGATACAGTGTAGATTTTGTTTCCCTTCTGTTTTTTATGCAATGACTTCACTGCTCTTGGTGTTATATAGAAAAACTAGCTGTATTCGGCAGCAGACTGTAAGGAAGAAGGGTTGCCCAAATGGCTTAAGAGTCTATGATCTGTTGTTTTTTTTTTTTAAATGAGTATAAATGGCATGGCATTAAGAGCTGCTGGACATTACAGTGTCACGACAGTTGCACATTTGATTTTGTTTTTTTAATAATTCCAGCCTCTGAAGTGCAGCCAGGACTCAGCCCTCTGCATTCCAGAAATATTGAAGTTTATATGCTGTGTAGTTTATATTTAGGTTTATGAGATTGAATTAATTGTTTGTGATCACTTATTCTTGGCTGTGATTCTTTTGGAAATTTTGTCAATTGTCATTTTTGGGTGAGGTCCACTTTAACATTCATTTTAAAGAATGTGTAGTAGATGTTGGATTAATACGTTATCAAGTATGAGACTCTTTCAAATAACCTACTTGTTATTGGACTCAAATCTATTGAAATAAGGACGCTGGGGTTTGGATAGGCCTTTTCAGAGCTAAATAGTTTGGTAGAGGCCAATAGAAAAGAAATAAGAAAAATAAGAAAAAAAGAGACCAGTGGGAAGGAGGGGAAAGTGAACACCAAGTTGGTTTGGATAGAGAGGAGCGAAAATCTAGTGATTAGAAAAGGTCTTTAGCCCATTCCTTTCTCCACGGAGAAGAGTTTGATAGCCTGAAGGAATTATGGTTTTGTGCCTAAAACCATTTATTTGAGTCTGTTAGCACAAGAAATGCCATTTTCAGCAGCCTGTTGGATTCACTTCTCTTCTGTTCCTTTCTGGGAGGCTTTCCAGGGCATTTTCTTCAAATGCGAGGATAGATATCTCTTGCTAGCTGGGTCCAGAGATCTGTCTTGTCTGCCCAGTGTTTCAGCACAGCTTTTTCTGCCTTTGAGTCATCCAGGGCTTGGCAACAGCCCACCCTGTAAGCTTGCTTGGGATTATTGGTCCCAGTTGAAGATCATCCTTGCAGCAGCTCTTCAGATTCCTAAGATATGTTTTTGGGAGGGGGTGGGGTGGGGAGGGGGTATCTGTAGTTCTTACTTTGTTCAAAGTACTTTTAAATAGTTAGCCGGGTTTCTTGCTATGCTTGCAGTGTTAGTGATGTGTCTTATGGGGTCTTTCCAGGATCTAAAATTCCTTTTGCTCTTCAGGCAATGAAAAAGGGATGGGTCCTGAATGTCAGTGGCCTCTAGAGGATCACAGTGACAAAACAGTCACTGGTTTGAAATTGGCAGAAGCTATCCCAAGAGGTGATTGTCTTGCGTCTCTCATGACGTTTGTCTTGTCTCAACTCGACCCACTTTCCATAGAGAGCTCAGGAGGCAGCAGACCATGCTATTTGTCCCTTCTGTGGAGTTGGACTCAAGTGTCACAGTTCTTTAGCAAGTACATTAGTAGGGCTTGATCTGGCTTTTTCCTATAGGATCTTGAACTAGTTTCACAGGATAGGAACTGCATTTTTCAGTATTGTGATGGAGCTTGTTGTCGTTGCATGAGGTAGCATTACATGAGTAGCATCCAAAATGTAGTTGATGATTTTTAAAACCCTAGTGATGTGAATTGTTAACTTGGGATCAGTTGCATGCCAAGAACGTGCTGATTTTCCAAGCACTTAATCTGAAACGTGATTATGAAGCAGTTGCTTATAAATCTATTTTGAAATTGCTCCTGTATTTTCTATGTTTTATTGAATTGCTGTTCCTGTATCTCAAATGTAGTCTAAGAACTTGGCTGAAATATCACAGCCTCTTTCTGTGTCCTCTGTCTCTACACACTCTGGTTGACAGCTGGAATAATATAGATTTAGCAGATCAGGATTGCTTTGTATACTTGTGTTGCACAAGGAAATGGTAATCCTTATAGGCTCTAGACAGGGGTTTTAGCTGTGTACTTTCCTAAATATTGAAGAGAAATTATTATTAGTTTCAAAAATACATATTAAACATATATAGGCATGCATAAAGTATATACGCATATGTGTGTATGTATGTCTATGTAAATATATATATGAAATGTAATGGTAAAAGAAGAATGCTCCACGTGTGTTTGTGTGTGTATTTATGCGTATATGTGTGTGAAATGCCCTCCTTTCCCTGTTACATTTCAGAAGGTAAAGGGTGTGGGTCTTGATTTGAGGTAGGTTTTTGTCCTGTAAGTAGTCTTTTGGAATTAAGAAGAATATGTATTGAGGAGGCTTGTGCATCTGTAAAGTTTTCTGCTCAGGGTTCACACAACCAGGGGGAGTGCCTGCTTTCTGGACTAAGATGCAGGCTTCTCTCAATGTTGATATTTGCAGGTATCATGGCAGTGGCTCCTTTGGTCTCAAAATGTAAGAAATAGGTCAGTGTTATCTTTTACTTCCTTTTGTTCCTTCCTTGCAATCTATTCTGCCTGGTCTGGTGTAGTAAATGATGATGTAATGACACTGAGCTACCCAATAAAGAAGCTGTGCAAGATGTAAGAAATCAGATGCATCCGATAGTACCTGAAATTTCAGGAGAGATGCAAAGATGATACACAAAGCTAAAGATGGCAGTAAAGACTTCTGTTCTTCAGTAGAGGGTATTGCTTGTGTTTTGGACAGGTTCCAGAGTGAATTTTGCTCTTTTGTTTTGTGCATGAGGGCAGTGCTTGCAAGACAAATTCATTAGGCTAGGAAGTATAACACCGGGACACATTAAAGAGTTGCAAGACAGTACAGCAAGGACTGCATGCTGAACTTAATAATGGGAGAAAAAAATGAAGTGCTACCATACTGCTCCTACTGCAGCAATTTGACAGGCATGAATCTTGAGGTAAGCGTTAGAAGAGGCCCCAGATGAGTACCTGTTCTAAAATATTACCATGTCTTTAAAAAATTATCAACCTGCTTTATATTTTTTCTAGAAAGATACAGCCTTTCCCCTTATGTCATTGCAGTGAAATAAATTTAAATAATATGCACCTTGGACAACTTCTGTTTTTGTGTGACCGCATTCCTGTTGGCTGTACCCATCTGCAAACTGCTGCCTTCCTCTCATTATGCAATTCAGGTGTGCATATGCATGTATGTAAGTTGCTCTGAAAGTAATGCTTCCTGTTAATTTCCATGGAATCGACAACTGATACAGAGAGCAAAATAACACTGTTCAATAGAGCAAATTCTCAGTTATGAAACATTATTTTTAAGCATAGTCACCACCATTAGCTATGCATTTTTGCCAGCAACTGACAAAAGTCTGCATGCTACCTTTGTCAAAAAAAAATAAAAAAAAAAATAGGTGCACCAGTGGAGCTGACACACTTGCCACTGCTGAAACATACCACCCACTGCCTCACTGTGCTCACCAATCCGCTGTTTGTCTCTGTAGACGTTCAGCAAGTGCTGATGAATGCCACTGAATGCAACTTTTTCTGCATGGAGGAATTCATGTGAACTTCCATGTCAGCTGCCATTGTGTCAGGCTGTCCCCTCTGCTGCTATCTGTCATGCGGCAACAAAATGTAACAGAATATTGGTGGGAAGGTTCAGCCTTGACTGCCATACCACCAACCTCTGCCTCTGATATCATGGACCAACATGATAAAATAGGAGGCATTAGTTTGAGAGCAACCTTTGTATGTATGCATACCTGTATAAAGATGTAGATGCAGGAGGAGGGTTTGAAGAGCTTTTGGCAAGCCTTGCTTTGTCCACTATCATCTTACAATGGTGGAGCCTATCTCTTTCTTCGATCTGGGATAATTAGTTGTGACCAGTTCTTTATTCACTCGTGTTCTCCAACGCAGTGTACTGGAAGGCAGAAATTAATCTGTTTACTGGAGACAAGAAGATTTGTGTTGGAGGCCCTTGACCCTCAAAACCTGTAATTAGACCACAACAGGAAGAAAAGACACTACATAGTTCAAAATGAATCCTCCCATATTTGATCATGGAGGCTGGCATTATCATTCCTCGTATGCCTTCAAAACAAATGTAGGGTCAATTTTTTCTCCACTCGGAACAAGAAACGTTCAATTCCCATCCCAATCTATAGCTGATAGACTTATGGTCTGAGTGTTATTTACTTTTCAGTTTCCTGAGCTTATTTTCTCTTGGTTTAGCGGAAGAACTGGCAAAGTGCCACATTCATATTGATTTATTGAAAAAGGAAAAAGCAGATGTATGTGATTGAATATCCAGCTCTGCTGGAATTTATTTGTGGTGATGGTGAGCACTTCTTTGTAATAAGATCACAGGTTCTTTTAAGATAACACGCTTCAGCTATGCATTTTTCTCTCCAGCAGCAAAGAATCTTGTTTCCAAAGGAGATAGCAAAAGTATTTGGATTGAGGATTGTGGATAACATGATATATATTGTAAAAGGCCTGTAAAACAAATTGCTTGGACTAAATATGGATTTGTGGAGTTGTTTTTCCTCGTAATGTCTGATCCTGGGTCTTGCTATGTATTTTCTGCAAAGTGCTCATCACTTTTCAGGTTCAGGTCCAAATTTTTACTATGAATTTTTTGAAGATCTGAAACACCCACTTCTAAACAAGAGGGGCATCTGTGAACAGCTGTATTCCTTTTTTTTTCTTTTTTTTTTTCTTTTTTTTTTTTCTCCTTACTAACTGTGTTCTCTATATTTCTGAGCCATGGCTGCTTCTGTGCTATTCTATTTATATTTTATTGACATGCAGTACTGTTTGGTCCATGATGCTGCCTTGCTAGACCTTTTATTTGCCTTCCTCATCATGTATATTGAGTACTTATCATTCCACATCCTGGTCTTCCCCATCCCCATTTGTTTAAAGTCTGTAGCATGCTGTTACGTGATATTACACCATTACAAGGAAATGTGGCCAGATCTTCATAATTCTCTACAGAGAAAAACCAGCAGCTTTTCTTTTTTTGCTTCCTTGTTCTTAGTTCCTTGTGTGTGAGCCTGTTGCAATTCAGCTCCTATAATCAGAATGGACTGTCAGTATTTCTTTATCACATTAGTTCTCCATCTCCGTTTGAAGTCTTGCTTGGGAGGGGAAAAAGAAGTCCTCCTTCAAGTTCTGCAGTCTTGTTGTCAGGAGCAGTAAAGCAGTCGGGTAGGATTTATGTATCAGAGGCTGACTGATAATAACACTGTGCCAAAAGAAGTCTTTCATTACTAACAGTTGTTCCCTGATTTGTTTTTCTTTGTCCTCCTCTTTAGAATTTGGGATGGTTTCCTTGATATTTTCCGCAGCGTTGGCCTACTTCCCCTCACGCCCTCCATTCCCTCCCAGTGTGGCTGCAGCTAGTCAGCGGCTTAGCTACAGGAGGAGCTTCTGCAGACTCTTAAGGTAAGTCCTGACTGAGCTTCCACTGAAGAGATCAGCACCTGAATAAATGAACGCAAGTGTACTTTAATCTTCTCACTGAACAAACAAGTTAGTTTGTAGTGCTTCTAAACCCAATCAAATAAAATATTAATGCTGAAATATTAAAAGATGGTAACTACGAGAAAGCAGACATTAAATTTTAAATGAGTCTATTCCAAATCTTCATGTGAGCATCCTCCTGCACCAGCACTGCTGGAGTCATTCTGTTAGCATGGCTGCTCTCATGCAATGCTTCTGTTACATCAGGTTATACAAGATTGTTAACAGTGTGCATTCTGCTGAGTGTGAGGTAACAGTTAACAGGGCTGGACAAAACTAATTAATAAGCTGCTTTCTTCCATGCTTTTTGTAATGGAATGAACTTGGGATTTGCTTGTCATTCAAGGAGATGTACAAATGCCTTTGTTCAGCTGTAGGAGCAATGAATGAAATATCTGAGACCATTATATCATCTGTTAGATCTTGCTAATTGTTAAAATACATGGGGTAGAAGTTCCGTTTCTGGACAACTTCAGAGATGAATTAGTTTTCTCTAAATTTAGAGTTTATAATGTTTTTTCTCTCTTTTTTTTCAAAGTGGCATCTTCAGCTTTACAACTTTTTGTTATCTGCTTAGATTTAATTTTTTTTTTTAATTTTTTTTTTTTTTTTTTTTTTTTTTTTGTGAAACAATCTCTCCCTCATTGTTTGTAGAATGTCTTGTGTAATGGAAATATAGTATCAAAGCAACTGTAACATAAACGCTCAATAATTGTGGAGGTCTGTGCCTGGTGTGTGGTAATGCATAGAGGAGCTTGCTGGGGCAGAAACGATCTGTGATGCAGAGTATGATTGATTCCTCTGGGGAGGTTCAAACTCTTGCTGCAGTTTTTAGCATGTAGTAATATGAGATGAATCTATATAAAATGGGCTGCTTAAAACTTGATATTGTTGGAGCTTTGGGCACTATTGTTTTCTGACTCTAGTTGTTTTTTTTTTAAGAGTACAGCAAAACCAGCACCTCCTGTTATCACTGTTTTTATCTGGTGGGTTTGGAGACTTTTGTTTCAGTTTGGAGGAGTAAATTTTTTGGAAAAAATAGTTACTCCTATGTGCTCATACTCAAATAGGCTGGTAACTGGGAGAAGATGTGAATACAGCTGGCTGGTTAGTCTGCAAACTGACCTACTCAGGATATTTAAAAAATAGCAATTCCCCTAAGCACACTTAGCACTCCCAATAATGCTGTTAAACACCCAACTTGGTGTGTAGTGAGACCCTGCCTGAGGGCTGTGTTGTAAAAATGTTCCTGTGGAATAGAAATCCAAACAGCAACCACCTCTGCAGGTAAAATATAAAATTTCTGTTGACGGTACTCTTTTTGGGAGCTCTATAACTACAATATTGCTCATTCAGCATATTGTAAATGCTGGGCCCGAGATACTGGTAAGTTCAGGAGATAAGCAGCAAAACTGTTTTTCCATTCACAGTCAACCAAACTTAGGAAAACAAAGTAGAGACACAAGTAATCAGCAGAGCTCATCATGTTTCAAAGTTAGGTAGATCTTTGTCTTCCTTCCCTCTGGTCTTTATGTGTTCTTCCATTCTACCCCTTATCAAAGGCACTTCTACATTCCTCTGTACTGAAACAATCAACAGTTCATCATTAAAACCACTTATCTTGGGGAGCCTTTCAGCACCAATCTGTCAAACAAAGCAGGGGTTTATAAAAGAAAACTATCTGCTGTGCTTCAGGGATAAGTCCATCATCTGGTTCATTAGGCTTCTAACCTCTGTTGCCTGCCTAACCTAGATTTGTGATTCTTGGAAAAGAGAGTCTTTCTTTAGACCTTGTGGTATAGGCTGAAGGTGATCAGCTGATGACAAGGAGGAAAATGTGATTTTCTCCTTTGTTGCAGATTTGCCCTCTGGTAGGAGAACTGTATGTGTAAGGCATTCAAGGTGTGTGTGAGCAGGTCAGCTGACTTCACCTAAATGTACACCAAAAAACATGCTTGAGAACAAGAGGTCTTCATCACTTCCTTCTTCTCTGCCCCAGGCTTCAGATTTTTGCTTCAAAAGAAAGCTGTGTAGCATAACTTTACCACTGAAGTCATTGACCTCTTTTCTTGGGTGCCAAAGCGATCTGTGACTTCTTCACAGCTCCCAAGCTTCTTCATGCCTTCAGGTTGTTGAGCAGTCTTCATGAGCTGCGAGGGAGTTGCTTCAGAACATGAATTTTTCCCCTGTCTTGGAGATTCCTGCTTCTGGCAGATTATAACAATTAGCTGATCTTGGGTTATCTCCTGATACCAATTTTCTGAGCCTGGGAGTCAATAGATTAGTCATGCTTTGGGAGCTAAGCCCAATTCTTTTAACAGTCTATCTCACACTGTGACAAGCCTCGTTTGAATTTCATCAGAAAAAAGTACTGTGCCCTTTCTCAGTTTCTTAGGTGAAGTAAATATGTTTTTTTCCTCACTGCAGAATATAACAGAAGCTTCCATGGGAGAAATTCTCTTACAAGTAAATAGTTGATAATAATATAAAGAGAAAAACAGTGGTTTTCTTTTTCTTTTTTTTTTTTTTCTTTCAAATAATAAGATGCCATTAGCCAGTTATGTGTCTCTATATTTTCAAGGGGCTGGGTAAGCAATTTTGAAATGGTGTGGTTTTTTGTGCATCATTACTTCTTTCATGAAACTTCCACATGACATCCGTGTCCAGCCTGGGAGCTGTTTGGAGTGGTCTCACGTTAATAGACGTTGTCAAAGTTATTTTGAAAATGCTGACTGACTTTGACAAGGCTCTCCTGTGAACCAGCCTGTTGTATGAATTCTAGTAACATTAAGTCGAATTCTGAAGAGAAGCAACAACAAAACAGCAGAAGAAAAAGCCAATTTGGCATTCCAGCAGAATGATTTAACGGAGAGCCTAATGCTGATATCCTGTCATGAAGGCTGATATGATGGAAAACAGTGTGGGTTCACCAGCTGATGGTGTGATAGACAGCACATTTTTCTATTTTCAGTGGAGCAGTTGCAAAATAGCAAAAACAAATACAAGTTGCTGAAGCCATGAAGAGTGAAGCTGATACTTAAGGCGTGTGTTTCAATTGGCTTTGACACTTACTCTAGTCAGTGCTAGCTGTTGCTGTACAAGGGGACTAAAAGGCATATGGTGGCTGATGCCATGCACCCTTTCTCCTGGTTGGTTTCCTTAACAGGGAGACTGGGCAGGTTGGCAGTGTGGGGGCCTCTGTCTCTGGAGGATGGTGTGATGCAGAGCTGGATCTCTGGTATTGTGACTAGAAGTTGAGTGTGATGGAGCAGCTCCTGCACGTGCCGTTTTGTCACATTGCTTGAGTTAGAGAAGACCTGGGTCAAGCAAACAACCAGGTGCTTACAGCCCAAAGTAGCTCATTAATGAAGTTCAGACAGACAATCAATGAGTTTGAATACTGAGCAAGTGTTGCTTTGGAGGAGTGCATTCAAAGTTGTTACTTCTTTGCAACCTATAATATGGCTATATAATGTCCATGCAAAATGGGACTTTCCCTTTTATTTTATTCTGCAGATACTGGAATAGTTTTTACATGGGTAGGATTAAGTAACATAAAACCTGCCTGCAGAGATGTCAGGATAGCACAGGATAGACTAGACTTGAGAGAGCAAAAAAAGTTGTCAAGAAGACAGCAAATGCATTAGCATTTGGAGAAATATGAGCAGTGTGTGGAAGAGTTGTTTTTCTTTGCATTTAAAAAAATAAATCTGACATGAATGATATTGAAAGAGCAGGATATGTTCATGTGATATAAATTTGTTATTCAAGATGAGGATGTGTGAAAAAGAACAGTGTGTAGAAAGAACAGAGTGCTGGCTAGAGCGCTTTGAATCTTCTAAGGGAGTAAAATAGTGTAGGCTCAAACCTCTCAATATTTTGGAGAATATTTTCTCTCCCATTTGGTTTTTGTAACTGTGTGCTATCCAAGTGCATACTAAGGAGCTGGTACTACTGATCAATATCAAGTTTGCATAAATTGTCTACGGGAAGGAAGGGTCACGCTTCGTGTTTACACAGGTAACCTGTAACTTAAAAGCATCATTGTTGGAGGAGTCCAAAGTATGTTTCCTGTTTTTATTCCCAGATTGAAACATTTTAGAGGAAAAGCTGGGGTCTACCTTTGTAAGGGTGCTGCATTTCACTTTGGTTACAGTGATGAGGGGATGAGATGGGGTGGGGTCGGTGGTGATTGTTGTCTGGCAGCTCTATAGTTGTGTATGGTGAAGATGATAACACAACTTTGCTTTATCTTTTGCTGAATACTGAAGGTTGATTAATTTTAATTGGGGGAATAAAGCAAACATGTTGAGTATTTAGAGAGAATGCTACGCTTGTCTGTGTTTTGATAGCTCAAACTGCCAGAATTTTCCACTGTTGTGTTTGTATCCACCTTGTTATGAAAGCCCTCCCTCTCAACAAAACAAAAAGAAGTAAAACCACCTTTTAATTTTTTTTTTAAACAGTTCAAAGCTCTGCTTTTATGCTTGAAATATGCTTTTCTTAAATTGAATTAGTGCTTTTTGTTCCTAACATACACTTAGCCTAACTAGGTTGCCCATTCAAATGCAGAATTGCTTGAGGAAATGAAAAACATATGAGCCCAGCACATTATGAAAATGGTTGGATGTGGAGAGACTGGCTTTTCTTAATGTCATAGTGCTAAGGCAGCAACATCCCAGCCACTCAGATTTTAGTGACTTGTCTGGATATCTTTGTTGTTTTTTCTGACTCACTCATTCTTCAAACCTCTGCTATTTTTCTTGATGGGCAGAATATAGATTATGACTGTAATTTACTCTAGCAGCTAATCTTGGTGCAATTTCTAATATAAGCTTCAGCTAATTGCATTTGTTTTGTTTTCATAGCAATTTCCGATTCTTGATGATTGCTTTAGCCTATGCTATACCACTGGGTGTTTTCTCTGGCTGGTCTGGCGTTCTGGATTTGATATTAACACCAGTTCATGTGAGCCAAGTAAGTATCTCCTGACTGATAATCAACAGCTATTTTGTAAGTGGTATGTTTTTATTTTGCACTAACATACAATTTTGTCAGGTTTTTATAATACATATGAACCACTTTTATACTGAAATGTTAAACAAAATAAACTATAGCTTTGGCATTCCAAGCTGTCAAGATCCTTCCTGTTGACTCTCAGCTAGTGGGTTGTAGTTTCAGAGCTGTGTACGCCTTTTGACAAGAGTGAAGAGGCAGATAAACAAATAGGAGTATTGTTGGCTGCAGCACCTTTAGTAACAGAAAATAATGTTTACCAGATGAAAAGGATGAAATGGGGAAAAGAGGATTTCTAAGCTTTTGATAGAGTACAGTTGAAATCCAGAGGACATTACTTGAATGATTCCATAGGGGAATCACATCTAGGGCACAGGCTAATTAGTCATACTTCTTTTTGTAGAAAACTTTGTTTAAAATACTCTTATAAAGGTCTTGCATCTAGCGTTGATGTTGGGGGAGTGGGGCATGGGATGAATTTGCCAGCAGTCTGTAGCCCCCGTGCAGCATTTGTTTTGAAAATAGCATCATCGTACTTTCTCTAACAAATTTCTTTATTTTTCTTCTTTTTTTTCCTGTCAGGTAGATGCAGGCTGGATTGGATTTTGGTCTATAGTTGGAGGCTGCGTTGTTGGCATAGCAATGGCAAGGTAGGAATAGTTGCATCCGCTTTTTCAACTGTTATTTTCATTTGGCTTATGCTCTTAATAATATAACTTGTTTTTTCTCATCTTTTAGATACTTGGAATAGTAAATGTGTAGTTCTGGGATTATGTGTTTCTTGTAGAGCAATGTGTTTTTGTATTCCATGTTACTGCTCTCTGAGGGTTGAGAGCGCCGCACTTGTCCCTTGATTCAACAGGTTAGTCTGTTAGTCAACTGTTCAACTGTTAGTCCTGACAAGCACTTCCTATGTGTTCTTTTAAAATGTTTTTTGTGAATTCAGCTGCCTGCTATTAGGGAGAATCCATTATAGCCCATTTGGAAAGCATTGAAGAAATAGTGTCTGTCTCATTGCATCAATAATTTTGGGCATGTTGATTCCTGAAGAGACATTGAGAATGTAGCACAAGCAGGTTAGACACAATGATTGTATGTTCCACCACAGAGAAATTACTGTAGGCCTGTTTTGGCAGCTTGCTGGATTTCTGTATGGTGCTTTTTTGTTGTTGTTGTTTTTCTTCTATGCTGGTATGGGTTGCACTATGGCTGTACCTATGCTTTTTGTATATCCAGGCACGGATATCTCTGGCCATCATGAATGCTGAATGATTTGAGAAGTGGAAAAATAAGGAATGGGTTGCCCTTCTTGAAAGGCTGCTGCTTTTTAAAATTTCAACTAAAGTCCCTTAAAAATAATAATAATAAAAACAGAAGAAAAGAGGAGGTGGGAAGAAAGGTTTTCTGGAGGTACTTGAGCAGTGCGTTTATGAAACTGCTTAAAACCAGCTGCATGGTCCCCTTGCACCTGCGTTTCTAAGTGCTATCTTGGCTTCCTTATGCCCACTGTGGTTCTGCAACAAGTTCCTCAAAAGAGTGCAGGGGTCTGTCATAGCTGTTATTGTGGCATTGTGGAAAAAATTGTCATCGTAGGACAGAATCTAGGGATTTCTTCTACTCTTTTTTAACTTAACATCATAAAATCATTCAGTTTGGAGAAGACCTCTAAGATCATCTAGTACAACTTTATACTTACCACCAATATTTCCCACTGATGTCCCTCATATTGTCATTCAAATGTCTCTCTGGCCCACCCTTCAGCCTAGGACAAGGCATCTTCGGAGTACACAATGCATAAAAATGTGAGGCTTCTCATCCTGATATTTTGCACACTGGCTAGCAGCTGTGGTGGAAGAGGAGGAAAAATCCCCTGACCTAGGGAGGAGAAACAGCTATGTCTCTCTGGTCCTCTCCAGATGCAGGCAGAAGGGCTTAGTCTGTCAAAACAAAGTTCACACCCTATTTTCTTCAAATCATTGAGAGCCAGAGCTCAGTATGAAGTATTGTTCGTAGAGAAGTAGATATTTAAAACTACCTGCTGTAAGTGATCTAGGTGCTCTAGCAGGTTACCTGATGGTAGCAGGTGCTGTGCCAGCTTAATCCTTTCCATCATGGGTTCACCTCTCCTGAAAGTCAGGACACTGTTAGCCCTCACATTGCTAGGAGAGAATCTGCTGACTCGGTGCCAACATGCGAATCTCAATCTTTATGGTAAATTAATTTATTTAATACATTGTCCAGATTAAGTTTCAGGAAATGCTGACTATCTCCTTAACTGCTTCAAAATTGATTTCAAACCTCATTGAACACCAGTACTTTGTAGCATCCAGAGATTTGCTTTTAGGTAAACTGAAAAACTAAAATATCAACAGTCTCTCTCCAAATATGTCTTTCTAAATTGGGCAATACATAGTTGAAATGGGAGGGTTTGCGCACACACTGTGAGGGAGGGGGTGATTTGCCACTCATGATGGATGGCTCTCCCTCTTAGGTCTATTCAGCATTTATCTGTGTAGGGCTGAATCAATGACGAGTCTGACTGTAATCTGCTGAAAGTTGTAATTAGGAAAATTAAGTAATGATTCTTGTCAAGGGTGACAAGCTGATGTATTTCAGTGTCAGAACTATGATTTACCAGGCAAGCAGCTCTCTCCTTTAACCACTCCTCAGGAAGCCAGATTTTTTTTTTCTATTACTTTTTCCACTAATTTATCAAAGCAAAATTGGTACAGTTTAGGAATCTGCCCTTTACATTTTTGGCAATGCAGATTCTACTATTTAAAACAGTAACAATCTGAGGCTCGTACTGGAGCACTTGTTCCTGCACATCACAGTAGGTGTTTAGATCATCTGTATTTAAAGTTGTGCCCAGTTTGGAAACACATCTATCTAATTTTTGAAATGGTGTGAATTTTCCTCAGCACAATACATAAATCTACCTACTGCTGTCCCAATAGACATGAACTTTAGATATATTTGGCTCATTTGTGTGATGCATTTTTCTAATTGAAAGGCTCGGGTTATTCTGGGCAGCTGGCAGCTTTTGAATGACACTGGCTTGAAGAGAGGCAACGTTGAAGAGGCATGTTCATATTATTGCATGGCAACTTAAATCTATCCCCTTCCCCCAAAATTTTCTGTCCACATTTGCTAATGACTCTAGATATTTCTGAGGTTTTGTCATTCACAGCTCAATCTTTCTTTCTGCTTTTAACCTGCAGTGTTAGTCAAAATGCTGAAACTTTATGACATGGTGATAATTTCCTTAGCAACAGACGGTGTTGTCAGCAACACAGGTTTGTGACTTTAGCTATAGGATCCAGCCTAGGCTGATTTTCTGGGTTACAGGAGGCTGCTACCAACGGTAGGCTGAGAGATCTGCGTCCTGGGAGTGATAAGGGAAAGCGTATGCCATCTGTCCTGGTGCACCTACTTCTTTAGCAGATGTAGACGTTCCAATACATGCTAGATGGTGAAGAAGGATGGTGAGGATAGAGGGAACAGTGATTTTGTCTGCTAACAGAAAAAGCAGGGAGTCTTTGGGGAAGAAGTCTGAAATTGACACGTTGAGAAGCTTTTAAAATTGCTGATTTTGACCTTAGTGATCTTGAAGAATAATTAAAGAAACTGACAAACTACTGAGAAAACTACAGTGATCCTGACTGCTGGATTTGAATTGTCAGAAAAATGCAACAGAAACAGCTAGCCTCTGACTATTGGTGATTAATGCATAAGCCACTTAACACTGCAGTCGTAAACTTTTAAGATTATATACAGCATTGATCTCCCTCTACTGCTTATTGAATTACTTGCTGCTAAACTCAATGTGGAAGTAAAGCTCAGGGAGAATCAAAATAAGAGGAAAGAAGTGATAATTTTTGCAGGTGTCATTACTTGTACATCTCTTTATGGTTTGTAAAGAGCTAGGATTCCTAGCCTTCAAAATGTAGCATTCATGTGTTACATCAAGTAGGCTGTATGGTACCTGCCTGTGAAGTGACTCCTAACCAAGGCAGAAAGGACAATTTGTTTGCTGTGAACCAGCCTAGATGGATTGTGCTGCCGTCAGCCTAATAGAAGTAGACAAGAAGTGCAGAATACATTCTTTTGACATATGTCCAGCCCAAAGGCATATTCCTAACCTACAGAAAATTACTAGTGGGGAAATGACGTTGCCTTTTCTTTTTTAGTATCCAAGTTGAAATCCTTTTGGAAAAGAGCATTAGCACTGATAATTACACTGTGTGAGTGCTGCTCAGATGCATTATGTCATCTTGGAAGAAAAATGAAAAAAGATGAGGAAAAAAGCAATTGAACCATCTCCTGGTATAAAGATCATGTTTACCTATATGTAGGTGTATAGTATACAACACTGGGACAGGTGTGTAGATGGGGATGGCACAAAGACTTATGGTGTCTGGAACATTTCAACCCAAAACAGCCACTGGCAGAGTGACCGTGTGTGAAAAGTTCCTGCTTTGCCTGAGCCATTGAGAGCTCCATCACCAATTTCTTTGAGGATCAGAAATTTTTCCACCTAGGGATTCTAGTACAGGGAGTTGTGTTGTTTCCCATAAGAATGAATCTTGAAAGTTAACTATGTCTTGAATGAAATGCATCAGCCTACTCATATGTTAATTGTGCAGTGAGTCTGCCAAGGGAGACTGGCAAACACTGGCAAAACAGCAGTGCAAGTATTGGTGTGATGTTATGTCCAACAAATGCAAGAGGAAAAAAAAAATCCTCCCTACATACCAAGTATTTTCAGTTGATGCCTTGTGAATTTCTTGTTTTGATTGTTATTTTGTGACAGCTAGAAAATCTATGGCACTTCATCCTGACAGCTAGAAATATCACCATTCTATAAAAAGCATTTACTTTTATTTCTGAGTGTGAGAAATGATTTTTAATTTGTTTTTATGGTTTCCAAAAGGTTTAATGAGAATTTACTGAATTAATTGCCAACCATCATGTTTAAGTAATGTGAAAATTAGCATTTGTACTGTTCTGATCTGTGGGTTGTTTTTTTTTTCTTTTTGTTTTTGTGTTTTGTTTTGTTTTGTTTTTTTTAGATTTGCAGATTTTATTAGGGGCATGCTGAAATTTATTCTGCTGCTGCTTTTATCTGGAGCAACGTTAGCATCAACCTGGTTCACTCTCACCTGTCTAACTAGTGTCACCCATCTGCCTTTAACCACAGGTATTGACAATAACTTTAATTTGTATTATTTATAGTCTGTATTGCAGATGTATGCTTGCAGTCTTAAATCAAATATGTAATAAGTTGGTCAGGTATCTTTAGCTGTAGGTAATTTTACCAAGAGCAAAAGAAAAGGCTTGGAAAATCCTTCTGTATTCTCTAAGAAATTTTTAAGTTGCTTCATACAAGGATTAAGACCAAACAAAAATTAGTAGAGTAACCTAGACTACACATTTCAGATTTATTTTGGGACTGAATACTTTTCTTCTGCTGCTGTTTAGGAGTAACAGTGGTGATATACAATAATAATAAATAATAATCCTGTGAATGGAAGTAGTGTTGCATATAATAAGAAATAGTGACATGTCTGGGAATGTAGGGCTTTGAAACTTGCATTAATGCTTGGAAACATGCTGCAGTTTAAACTAAGGTGAGCCATGGTATCTTCAGCTGTCGCTACAATATGCTGTCCTCCCCCCCTCCACTGGTAGTGTCTTCGTGCAGGTTCAGGGGACAACTCCAGCCCCAAATTTACTCATCCTTCCCATCAGAAGGATGGGAAATAGCTGTTGGCAGAAGTGGAGGAAAACATCAGAGTTGTACTCATGTTTCCAGTTGACTGGACCCGTATTTGAAAATCAGCACTGCTTTTTTCTTTTTTTCTAATCTGTTCTTCACCTTCCTATCTGCACCAAAGGATTGATATACCCTTAATTCCAGGGCCTTCATCCAGCAGAATAATGAGTAATAATAAAACTGAACCATGAAAATACAAAAACCATGTTTTTTTTCTTCCCTGTATTTAATAAAGAGGTTGTTATGGAAAGTATTACATAAAATATTCCTTTATTCAAATTAAATTTTACTTTTAGTAAATGTTCTTGGCACGTTGTGTGTGTCATAACTATAAACCAGGAGTGGGAATGGCAAGTTGAAATACATGATCAGTTCAGGAGAGAATTTCACCCTCTGGATGGTGATTGGTCAGATTCATGAGTTATCTTGTGATTTCAACTTTCTTCAAAAATTTTTTCTCAGAAGTAAAACTTGGTAAATAAATCAGACTTCATGGTGGTTGTCATAACAAATGACTACACTTTTCTTTTCCATGCCATAAAAGCTCTTACTTTTTTGTGCTTGTCTGCTTCATTGCTACAAGCCTGCAGTAATGTAAATTTGTACAGTAACTCTATCTTCTGAATTGATGCAACAAGCCAAATGTCCCTTCAAGTCTATGCATAAGAATGAAGCAGAGAGGTTTTCAGGAGGTGAAAGTCATTACAGATGTATTTGCCAATGATCCAAAACAAAACCCAACTCTGATTTACTTTTTTTTTTTTTTTGTCAAATTGCTCAGCATGCAGGGACTCCTACTTGTCCAGAGCATATTTGTGCATTACTGTCATTACTGTGCTGTTTTTTGTTAGTTTAGTTTTATTTTTGTTAGGTCTGCCACTGTCAAGGCATAAGGGCGTATTGGGATATTTAGCACATCATGTGAAGTGTGCTGAACTTAACATCCCATCATAAAAATGCAGAAACTGAATTCTTTTCATGCATGTTTGTTCTAAAATGAGTAGTTCCTTAAATTGAATTGTAAATTATCTTTTGGGTTTTTCAATCTGTAGTGTTCATACACATTTCCCTGGAAACGTGGAACTCTTTCCTGTAAAACAAAGGATTATTTTGAATAGAAATGCCATCAGTGTGATGCATACCTCTGGAAAAAGAGTCACAGAATCACAGAATTGTAGGGCTTGGAAGGGACCTCCAGAGATCATCGAGTCCAACCCCCCTGCCAAAGCAGGTTCCCTACACCAGGTCGCACAGTCTGCTAGGCCAGTAGGCATTAGGCATCAAGGCCTGATGTATAACCACCAAATTGTTTCTTTTTTTATTCCTTTGTCGTAATGTTTAAACTTGATAGATAATTTGGGGAGGTTTTGTATCAGCTTTTTCTGCTAAAGTTTATAAAATAGTTGTAATGTGCCTGTTTATTTTAGATCCTCATACACGAGAAAGCAATGGCATATCTTTATGAAATACAGTGTTATGGATGAAAACACACAAGCTATTTAAGCTAATTTATGGAACTTCATGCTAGATTATTCCTCAACATAATGATGCGATACGATGATGACCTGTGCGTTCCACAGTAATTGGGAGAAATGTTACATTTGAATTGATTTTGATGAGCTTCTTTCTTTTTTTTTTTCTTTTTTTTTTTTTCTTCTTTTAATTAAAAATTGAGATGTAGAGTGTATCAGCTAAAATATTAGAGATCTACTGCAGGCCATTGTCTGCCTGCTTTCTGAAGTGGTTTGAGATAGCTGCCTAGGATAGACGTCATTCTACATACCTGGTGGACCAATGTTGACAGTGGCCTTCCAGGTAGTTGTCCTCTGAGTGTTCTTCTATGGTTGGAAGCTGGGAAAAACAAAACTCATCATGGCAGAGTTTTTTGTTTGTCTGTACGTTTTTGTGATTGTTTGTAGTAAAATCTCTGTAATTGCTTCGTACCTCAGAGCTACTTTGCAGGCCTTGCTGAAGACCTGCTGTAACACAGGGATCAGTATGTTACTGAGGGCAACAGGATGTGACGAAGCCAAGGAGGTGAAAGTAAGACTCTTTGGCTTCTTTCAGTCCTGTGGCAAAGAACTCCAGTGTTTCGCTTGGCAGCGCTGATCTGCAAGTGATGGGTCCTGAACCATACTTGTCATGGAATCTTATTCAGATGCTGAGGCAGAGCAAGCAGGGTTCAGAGCTGACTGTAGAGAGAACTTGTGTATCTTTGTTCTTGTAAGGATACTTTGCCTTCCAGCGTGCTAGCTTCCATTTTGTGAGAGGTTCCCTCTCTCGTTCTCTCTCTGATGTTGTTCTCTTGAACGGATCAGTGTTTGCCCTATAAAATCACAGGCATTGCCATTTTCAGCAGTATCTGGAGACTCCTGAAATACCCAGATGACCTGGTGGAGTGCTGGTGCATTTTAATGACAGGTCACTGGGTGTGATGAGGAAGCACGATACCTCATGGGTGTCTTTATACTGGTCAAGGTGTTAGTGAGAGCTTCAGCGTAGAAATGAAGGCAGGTTCATCTCAGCTGATAGCTGATTGATCTACAGGTAATGTTTGCATCCATAGGTGGGCCTTGCCAGTGATTTCACCAAGTCCAAAAATAGTGTTTTCCTTTAGTAGGTGGATATTGCATAGCACATATACTTGTTCCCCTTTCTGAAAACCTTTTCCTGTTCTCTCATCTGGTCTCCAGACTATTTCCTTACCCATCTATGTTTGCAGGCAGGCAGGCTTTTGAAATGCTGAAATGAAAAGAGAGTTTGGCTGATTATTCATCCGAAAAGAAGGGGATGGAAATATCTAATGACTATTTTTGTTTTCCAAAAACAAACAAAAAACCTCTTTTAATCAATATACTTTGTAGCACTTGTAGTAATATCTAATTTAAAGACTGGAGGAGGAATTGTATTTGAGAAAACAGACACAGCAAAGAGTTTCATCCTGCACTTGTTTGTATAACACACTCCTAATTCCTTATAAATAGGCACAACATCATCTAAAGATCTCCTATAAAAATGTAATTACTTAGAATGGAGACCTTTAATGTAGATATTAAAAATCAATGACTGCTTTGTGTTTCCTTTAAATTACACTGTTTAACATTGTTTGTATTGTATAATACGTGCACTGCTTTGCATTATCATGAAGAGTTTTTCTCCTGCCACAGGGTGAGACAAGTTTTATCTCAGTTTCTGACTTCTGAATATATCTCCCAAAGACTTTAGGGAAGGTGTATTTGGAGTCTTGTGTGTGAGCCATAACAGACCCATAACTGCCAGTGTGGAGAAAAAGAAAGCAAGGCAATAATAACAATGCCATCATAGCTGCTATATCTTCTATCGCAAACACTTCTCATCAGCTAATCATAGCTCTTAAAAATCCTTCATTCTGAAATTAGTTTTTGTTTTAAGCAAGAATTGTCTTCTGAATTTTCTTTTAAGAAATTTTAGTGTATATTATTTGCATTTTTCAGCTAGTTTCAAAGACCGTTTTATATAGACATTGGGTATTAAAATAGTTTTCTCTCTTGAATTCCCAATGCAGCTGCTGATCTCTCTTTCTCTGTGCCAAGCCCATTGTTAGTTTGCTTTGTACCGAGCTTCATTATGTGAATTTATGTACAAAGGGAAGCTTTGACCCCAAATAATTGTGTAACGCATTGTAATGCCAGTTTCAGTATCTTGTCACTGTGTAGCTGGTAGTATCTCTGGATACAAATGCCAGCATTTGCTAAAACTTGATATGCAGTGCTGGTTGCTTGCAGCTCAGATGGAATGTTTTCAGCCTAGCATATCAAGAATATTCTAATATTTATGAGCACATTCAGCAGAATTCTGCTTTACAAAATCTTTACTGGTGCTGCTTGGCAGATACTCTGAATACTGTGGCAACTCTGCGAGTTGATTACTGTATTTAGGTTAAGCAGTCTAAGCATTATTTTTCAGGTTCAGCAGATTGAACATTATAAACACATCTGTCTCCCCATCCTCATCTGAGAAGCACAGTATTGAGAAAGAGGAATATTAGTTATGTAATACTGATGGTTTCATTATTTGAGTTTAATTTCTTTACTATAAACAAGACATACTATGCCTTGCTGCCTCAAAGGATAAAATAGGCCTGAAAACATGGAAACTGAGGTTTGTTTTTTATTTCTAGCTTCAGCCTGTTGCTTATGGCTCTGAGTAAGTCTCTAGGTAGGTCTTATTACTTCCCCTCCTGTTGTACTTTTCCAACTTGTAAGTTCGCAGTAATGACCTTTGTATTCCTGATGGGGGGTGATGATCACTCACCAGTTTCTTCTGTTTTTTGTGGGTTTTTTTGTTTTTTTTTTTTTTTGTTTGTTTTTTTGGTTTTTTTTTTTTTTAATAAAGCAAATAGTCTGCTTTCCAAGCAAGTTCTACTTGCTTTTCTCTTGGGAAGTATATTGAACAAATGCAATTTGATCAAATTTTTGTTTACTTTTATGGCTATATCATGAGATAAGAATTTGGTCAACACATGCTGGAATAGAGATTTATGCAATGAGACACATTGACGTTATAAATACAGAGTATAGAGACATCCTTCTACTGGTTTTGTTTTTTTTTGTTATTGTTTTTTTCTTTTTTTTTTTGTTGTTCCTATAAGTGATTTATAATAAAAATTGCTGTTTTACCTTGGGGCACTCACATTTCTCATGGAAAAAATTGAAGGCAACTTCTTCAATGTCTATTCTTAATGTTGCCAATAGCAAGGATTAAGTTACGGAGAAGATTCTCTTCACTTTAACAGACTTGAGGGAGTTTGATAGGAACTAACTTTGACTTGTTTAGCTCATTTGTGAAAATACTGAAGTCCACGAAGTATTCATCCGCATAAGGCATTATCCTTTCATTTTGGCATTTGGGATGCTATTATAACCAACAATAACAAAATGCCCCGGATCTCTGTAGGCTTCACTTAAATTGTATGCTATGCCCACGAGGAATGTTAAGTTGTATTTACTTTCCTGTTGATTTATATGAAGTTTGTGCAAGTCTTATCTCAGTTTGTCTGAGAACTATTGCAAAATGTACAGTATTCAAGAGTTCTGTCAAAGGACTTTGGAAGAAGATGCTTCTTTGTACTCAGTACTGCACTGGTGTCTGCATTTCTCCAGCAAATGTATCTGTGAAATACTTTTTAAAAAAAATGAAATGGTAATATTTCTTATTGTTCATTGGAAACCGTCCAAGTTGTATGTGCCAACAGAACGATAAGAACCATTTAGACTGGTGGAGATCCTTCCATTAATTTAATTTAGTTTTGGATTGAGCTTTGCAGTTGTAGATCAGTAGTGATGATGGTGTATTTTAAAATGAAATTTGTGGATGTGTTTCAGAACATCCTGGGAAGTTCTGGGAATTTGTTTGAATGTCTGAGAGAGAAATGCAGGACATCTTCTGCTGTGTTGCAAGCTCATCCAGGAACAAACAAGTGGATACTGTCACTTAAACCCTTTCCTCATTCTAACTCCTAATTTACTTTTTTCTATTATGAAGCTCTTGCCACAGCGGGTAGCTGGGAGGAAGTAAAGTCTGTTTCTGGGTTACAGGCATTAATTTATCTTCCTGTAGCTAACAACTTGTGGTAGAGAGGAAGCTGAAATGGAACCTGATTACTTACAACTTTCTCCTTTTTGTGATAAGCCACTGTGGCAATATCAGTCCCAAATCACTGCCTCACTTCATCTAACAAGTAACATCTGTAGTGACATTATCATGACTCACTTTGTTCCTTGCTTTCTTACTGGCATTGCACCTCAAGCAGGAATACTGCATGGCTGAAAGACATTGGAGGCTCCTCCCAGGGTAGCTCCAGGCCAGTTCTTCTAAAGCAGCTGTGCTTTGGATAGGCATGTTGCTTTTTCTGCTCTGCTTTGCAGTGGTCAGTGTGTGAAATAGCTACCCAGATCTTTAAAATGTGACATTAGTGGAAGTAGCTTAAAGAAACCTAGACCAGTTCTGTTATTCATGGATGCCCACAGCTGCCACTGTCTCAGGTGCACACTTTTGCACATAGCTTCACAGGCAGTTAATTCCTTTTCCTAAGGAAAAGCAGGCTTTTTCATACTAATAGCATGACACAGTTCCCCAGAGGATGCTTCCGTCCAAACATGTGCTTACTAGTTGTTTGTCTTTGATAGGATTTAGAGCATAATATCATACTAGCTTCTTGGCAAATCATTTTTATTTATTTATTTTTTTTAATTTGTCAGCACTTTCATATCCTTATATTCATTTCCATTGACTGTCATCGAGATTGTCTTAATAGAAAAAACATTTCCTGTAAGTCCAGCAGCTGTTCTCCTACAGTATACAATCCTGGTAGTTACATTCATTTGGTGCAAGGTCACTGCAGTAGGAAGGAAACAGTCACCATTAATAGGTGGTATTCTTCTTGCTGCAGTGCCTTGTTGCCCTTGAGCAGGAATGTTAGGTGTGAGCCACTCAGTTTGTGAAGGAAATGTCTGGAGATCCCCACAGTTTGGAGGCATGCCGCCTCCCTGTTCTGACTGCTGGAGTTTGAGGGAGAGCATGAGTCATGCTGCAGAGATGCTGTGAGCAGCCCCACTTCTGCTGCTGCTCACTGTAACAGCCAGCAGCTTCATGACTATTTCCACTGTTTGGTGTTAGAATATGGAATTCCTCTTTGCAATTACATGGTGGTTGTTGTTGTTGTTTTGTTTATTTGTTTGTTTTTGCTTTTGGGAAAGTTCTGGATGTTTTCTAGAAGTTGCAAATAGTTATCTATGGATATCTTCAATTGAAGGTAACAAGTAGCAGATGTTCATTTGTCTTTGGAGATTCCTTGTATTTCATTGCCAACACAAGCCAACACAAATTTCCAATAGCTGAATTCCATGTTCAGATTTGCTGTGTACATCTGAAAGCAGTTACAGAGCAACAGAGCAATATGCACTAACACCCTCTTATTGGACGTTAACAAAAGTTGTCTTTTTATTTTATTTTTTTTGACTTGTGACTCAGAACATTCTGGTATGTTTGGGGGAAAAAGAAAAAGCAGAGTGGCCAGCAGTCCCTCCTGAAGTTATACCATCAATATCACCTTTCTGGCTGAGTCTTCTGTATTCTTTTTCTTGTCCAGGCAAATCCTCTGTAGAGAAAGCATTATGTCTGCGCCTTGCAAGCATACCACATCAAATGAAGGATCTGATAGATAACCCTTTCTGCTGTATCTTTTAATGCCTTGATCTCTTTTCCATGATTCTTCATATTTTAACAAATTGTGATGTTAGGCTTTTTTTTAAACTGGAAGTGTCCTGCTTCCTTACAGCTTTGCAGTTGGATGACTGAACAGTGCTTCACAAGATGAAGCAGAGATTTTTCAGTTCTCCTCTTTCTAAGACAGAAGAAAGCAAAATTAAACTGAAAATGTGTTGCCTACTTTATATAAGCATAGATATCTGTACAAGGGGGGAAAAGAACCTAAGAATTTAGTAGCAAACTTCAGTGAGAAGATGCTATAAAAAGTTTTCCTATGACTTAATGCTTTTGCATCTGAAAAATAATACGCTTTACGCTATCTTGTCATTTTGTTGGAAACTTGAGAAATTAATTTCCTCACCTGTATGCCTTCTCATTGTTTCCTTATACCTTACAATCATGAAATTGTAGAATGGTTTGTGTTGGAAGGGACCTTTTAAGATCGTTTACTTCAACCTCCTGCTATAGGCACCTCCCTCTAGACCAGGTTGCTCACAGCCCCATCCAGCCTGGCCTTGAATGCTTCCAGGGAGGGGGCATCCACAGCCTCATTGGGCAACCTGTTCCAGTGTCTCACCAACCCTCACAGTACAGAATTTCTTCCTGATATCTAGTCTAAATCTATCCTGTTCCTCTTTCCATCTACCGTCAACCTTACATGTTATGTTTTCTTGACTGGTAACTCGGATCAGATTGCTGGTCCAGATGTCATCTTGTTTCCTAGACAGAACTTAACAAACTTATTTCAATTTCTGAATTCAGTACTAAATTCTTCTGAGATTTTCTATTTTTCAGAAGTAAAGTGTTTGGCAGTGTTGGAAATCGTAGAACAAAATATCTGAAGGTACTGAAGAAACATCTGTATTCTTCTGCTATTCACCCAAGACAAATAGGCTGTACAGTGGTGAAAAATATGCCTTATCAAATACATCCCATTCCTTCTAGGCACTGGGTGCCCTTCATTTCCTATTGAAGCCAAATGGGATTCAACATGTTGCCACTCAGGCTTTGATGAATACTAATGTCTTGTTATCTGCTAAATCATTAGTATTTATTGGTAAAATGGAAGCAAAATTAGTCCTGACCTTTAGGGCTAAGTCGGAAGGTTAATCTGTGTCCATTTCCAATTCACAGCATTAATTGCTCCCTTCTCTAATTGTACACAGGACAATAGTTACTGTTCATTTCAGAGATAAATCAGACTGTAGGTGATGGTTTGCATTCATAATTCTGTGCTTATTTCTTCTTACAAATGAATTCTAAGTCACAGAATGTCTCTTAACAGGTTCTGTTTTAAGCATCAATAATTAAAAAATAACAATTAAAAAACCTCTTTATAAAATAAAAAAAAGAAGCCAACCAAACCACAATGCATGCTTTCAACCTAATACCAGTGGGACAGTGGGATGTGATATAGTTTGTAATACACAAAGGATAAAAAAAAAAGTTTGCGTTTTTGTTTGCTTAGATATTACTGTTCATGACAGCTCTGTATATGGGGAAAAACACCAGAGTGAAACTAATAGCTGTTTTTGTTTCTCTTACAGCCACACTGTATACATCCTGTATTTTGTTGGGCATATTTCTCAACAGCAGCATACCAATATTCTTTGAGCTCTTTGTGGAAACAGTCTACCCTGTTCCAGAAGGAATTACCTGTGGAGTTGTCACCTTTTTGAGTAATGTGTTTATGGGAGTGCTTTTGTTTTTCCTCACGTTTTACCACACAGGTAAGAAATATGAGTTACTTTGAAAATGTAATTCCCCGTGAAGACATACCCTTGTCAGTAAGGAGAGGAATTTGCATATACAATTTCTGTTAATAATCAAATGCATGAATCCCAGTTAGTAGCAAGGGAAAAGAACTTGAATTGTCCTTTTCTACATGCATGTTAATAAAAACAAAATGCTTTTTTTGTAAGATGCATGTAGACATGTTCCACTTGAAATTTGCTGTAACCAGAGCTCATCAAGATGCACAGTCATCATATTTTTGTAAATTTTTATTTAGATTTTTATGGATAAATATTCCTTTAGATAATCCAGTGGCCCAGTGAGGCAGAACAGTGTCTTGTTTGATATTTTCATCAGCATCTTCAGGTTTTCTCATCTCGGGAGTATTATTTGCTTCCTCATAATTTATAATCAGACTTCAAACTTGCTGTTTAATAGACTATAATAAATTCTTATTACTCTCCTATGACAAGATGAGCTGCTTAGTGAATGAGGGAAAGGCTATGGATGTTGTTTACTTGGACTTCAGCAAAGCATCTGATGCTGTTTCCTGCTAGCTTTCTCCTGGAGATACTGATGTGGATGGCTTGGATGGATGAGTTGGATGGATGTTTTGTTTTGTAACTGAGAAGAGACTGGTAAATTTCAGAATGAAATGTGTTTGAAATTAAAGGTTACAGTGCAGTGCTACTTTTCAATGTGGCTTGTGTATCTTTCTGACAAGTAATTATATGTAGGTTAATGATTACATTCTGAATTACGTTCTGTGGACAAAAATTGAGAAAGAAGATTTTTTTTTCATGCTTTTACTGAACTGCATTGTTGTAAAAAGTGGATTCTATCCACACCAGCCTCCGTGGTACAATGTTTACTCCTTACATCTTAAAGAATGCTTTTATGATTAATATTAATTGGTGTGAACTCTGTTCACATATATTATTATTTCCAACATTTAAACCTGAGCTGAAAAGATGGTACAGAATATTCTGAGGATATTTTCAACATTTTTTCAGAGTAAGGTGTTCTGAAGTGCTTAAAAACCAAGGAATTGGGACACAATCTCTTGTAATATTTGCATACTCTTAATTTCCTGTGACTGAAGAATTGTGCTAGAGTGAATTTATTCCCTCATGAACAGGGTATTTCAGGCCAGTTTATTCTCTAGCAGGTATACCTGAAATTAGTGCATTCACACACTTGGAATCTTTTCCCTATTTCTCCAAAGGAGGGGGAAGAAGTTAACTGTGCTCAAGATGATCCATTCTCAGTGATGGAGTAACAGAAATGATCAAAATTACAGATGTTTGTGATCGCTGGAGGCAGTCAATGCTGGTGGATGCTATTGGCTCCTTTGATAAAGGAAAAATCCTTTAGAATTTAGATAATGATCTTAAATACTTGTTTTCCCTTTGAATCAAATACATCTTCTAATGACATCTAAGAAGCTTATGGGTAAACCAGAACTCAGTCAAATGTATCGTGTTCACTCCTTGCTTTTAGGCCAAATAATCTTTCAGTAGTTTAAATTTTTCTTCTCATACTGTGATGTTGCAAAGGCTGTGAAAGAATCAAGCAATAGAAACTTTCCAGTGCATTGAAGATTTTGGTCCATCTAATTAGGTTGAGAAGGGAAATTCCAACCTTCCAGAAACCTCAGCCTAATTTCTAGTGCTGTGCTCTGAGACCAAAAGCCTCGGCTTCTGGACGTGGTTTCTTACAGGGAATTCCAAGTGGGAACCACAGAGAAATCAGCCTTTAGCTTTGTGTGATCCATATGTTAGCATGAAGCTCCAATGCTGTACCAAATTCTGTGTCGTAAAAGACGTGAAGGGTTCAAGAGGAAAATGTGGTCTTTCGGGTTATACAAGTTCAAGTATGTTTACCCTAATTAAGGAAGAGTATTGCTTCTCCCAGAAAATAGTAGCATAGCTTTTACCTGTGAACAATATTGTCTACTCCAAGCCTAGGAATATTTTATTAAGGTTTTGATTGCCTCACCAAATCTGTAAGTGTTGTGAGGAGAGGAGGTTGTTGCTGGTTCTGAGAGCTTGGTTTCCCCAGCTTTGACTCTTGTCCTTTGCATTGGGTAGTATAAATTGTGCTTTGTCTTTTAGCAATGTAAAGTTTATCAAAGTAGTAGTGCTGAAGTCTTGATTATGATTAACTCAGACTCAGGGAGAGCTTAGCTTCTGTAAAAGTCAATAAACAATTTCAAAAAGAATGAAAATATTTTTTAGTAATATTTCATTATAACATTGACAGATTTTAAGGAAAAGGGTCATACACTTACTTCTAAATGACACTGCTAAGTAGTACAAAATATCAGGCAATAGTATTTCTTGAATGTGGAACGTATGTTTTTAGGAGCAGAATGTTGCAACTAACAGCTAAAAAGAGCCTGCTGAGCAGCAGTTAGTGCAACTAGTTTTAAATTGCATTGATTGCACTACTCACAAGGTTCGTCTTTTGGAATTAGTTTTCCCTCCTCAGCCCACGTAGCAGGTTTGATTCAAAATCAAATCCTGCTGCTTCTTATGCTTTTAATTTGTTTTAGTTTTCAATCTATGGGAATCAAAGAACTAATGAGTAGAGTGTTCAGAAGTGGTTTATTCTCCATTAGCAAGAATAGATTATTTTTTTTCCCCCCTTTCTGCATTGACAGGCTGGTAAGAAGCATTAGTGTTAGCTGGAGGCATTGGTTTTATGTATATGTATATAGAAGTCCACGGAGGAGTCCCACAGACCATGCTAACCATTTATTGATTGTGAAGCTGTCGAGATTTTATTAAGAACGCAGCAATTTCCTTCAAACCCACCAGCCATGTTTCTAACTGACATTAGAAGTCTTAGTAGCTTTAAACACGGAGCATGTTCAATAACTAAGATTGGTTCTGTCTTCTGCTTTCCAGAGTTCTCCTGGTTCAACTGGTGCCTCCCAGGATCATGTCTGCTCAGCCTGCTCCTCATCCTGTGCTTCCGGGAATCCTACGACAGACTCTATCTCGACGTCGTTGTCTCTGTTTGATAACACAGGACTGCTGACAGGTTGGGAGAGACTGAGTTGACTTTTACAGTCTGCACATCTGCCTGGATTTGCACAGCTAGCCAGAGGGGGGAAAAAAAATACAAGGTATAATTGTGGCTTTATTAGTGCAGGTGAGGACAGGATGTTTCTTACATTCAAGCCCACTCAATTTGCATTCATTACAGGCAGATGAACGTGCAACTTGAGTGGTCATAAAGATGCCTGAAATGCACAAGAAGAATATATCTGATGTACAGTTTCCAGTGTCTGACCTGGGTTCCTCTATTTGAAGGCTGTTTTGTTCATGTAGCAGTGAGGTGTATGTTAGTGTGAGTGTGTGTGAGAGAGCCAACTCAAGGTAGTATGCACTGGGGTACTGGTAACTTTTGAGTCTTCTATCAGAATAGGAACAGTGAATAATCTCACAAAAAAAAAAAAAAAAAAAAAAAAAA